ACAACAACAACAACAACAACAACAACAACAACAACAACAACACCAACAACACCAACAACACCAAAAACACCAAAAACACCAACACCAACACCAACACCAACACCAACACCAACACCAACACCAACACCAACACCAACACCAACACCAACACAACCACCACCACCACCAACAACAACCGCCACCACCAACAACAACACCAACAACAAGCAACAAGCAACAAGCAACAAGCAACAAGCAACAACACCAGCACCAGCACCAGCACCAGCACCAGCACCAGCACCAGCACGTTGTTGTTGTTGTTGTTGTTGTTGTTGTTGTTGTTGTTGGTGTTGGTGTTGGTGTTGGTGTTGCTGTTGCTGTTGCTGTTGCTGTTGGTGTTGGTGTTGGTGTTGGTGTGTGTGTTTGTTGTTGTTGGTGAACAACAGCAGCAACAGCAACAGCAACAGCAACAGCAACAGCAACATCAACAGCAACAGCAACAGCAACAGCAACAGCAACAGCAACAGCAACAGCAACAGCAACAGCGACAGCAACAGCAACAGCAACAGCAACAGCAACAGCAACAGCAACAGCAACAGCAACAGCAACAGCAACAGCAACAGCAACAGCAACAGCAACGACAACGACAACGACAACGACAACGACAACGACAACGACAACGACAACGACAACGACAACGACAACGACAACGACAACGACAACGACAACAACAACAACAACAACAACAACAACAACAACAACAACAACAACAACAACAACAACACCAACACCAACACCAACACCAACACCAACCCCAACACCAACACCAACACCAACACCAACACCAACACCAACACCAACACCAACACCAACACCAACACCAACACCAACACCAACACCAACACCAACACCAACACCAACACCAACACCAACACCAACACCACCACCAACCCCAACACCAACACCAACACCAACACCAACACCAACACCAACACCAACACCAACACCAACACCAACACCAACACCAACACCAACACCAACACCAACACCAACACCAACACCAACACCAACACCAACACCAACACCAACACCAACACCAGCACCAACACCAACACCAACACCAACACCAACACCAACACAACAACAACAACAACACAACAACAACAACAACACCAACACCAACAACACCAACACAACAACAACAACAACAACAACCACCACAACAACAACAACAACAACGACGACAACAACAACCAACAACACAACAACACCAACAGCAACAGCAACAGCAACAGCAACAGCAACAGCAACAGCAACAGCAACAGCAACAGCAACAGCAACAGCAACAGCAACAGCAACAGCAACAGCAACAGCAACAGCAACAGCAACAGCAACAGCAACAGCAACAGCAACAGCAACAGCAACAGCAACAGCAACAGCAACAGCAACAGCAACAGCAACAACAACAGCAACAGCAACAACAGCAACAACAACAGCAACAACCGCATTGTGAGACTACATTGTATAGGATCATTTGGATTACGTGAACTACTTAGCTTGTCTGGCCTCTGACAAAAAACGAATACTTTCGTCATCACCGTGACATTGCATTATTCCTTCATGACATCACATTCTCATTCACTACATTACATTGCATCACATGTATGTGCGACGGCATGCCGGTGCTGGCGAAGAGGGGAGGTGTGTCCAGTGACTCCCGGTGTCAGTTTCTTCGGGGCTTTCGATTCCAAAGAGGTGAGAAAGGTTGATCGTTGCAGCAAAAAATACATCTGCGTAGAAGGTTAGCCGCAGTCCCAACCACCTGGCCAAAGGGCCCCTTTCCCTATCGTTGGTAGGGCAAACTATGCGCCCTGTACTAACCATGCAGATAGGCTTGGAAGCCAAGAGCAACTGCCCAGGGATGCTGCGTCTGCCAAGTATGCCATCAACGCTACTGTCTCCATCATGGGCCATGCCCTGTCCACGCTAAAGTCAGGCTCGACGTCATGGGGGCAACCTCGATGGCCCCGAAGACGGTTGTATTTTTGTTTGGATGCAACCCACCTACCAAAACATCTCCAAAAAAGCAACCTTGGTCAGGCTGCCAGCTTCACGGATTGCAAGCTGCGTGACATACCTGGCATGTACCAAAATTCAAGGGCCTGCCCCTGCCAACTAAACTGAAGCCTCAGATTGTTGGAATCAAGCAAAGCTGGCGAGGAGAGAGAGAGAGAGAGAAAGAACGAGAGTCTGTTTGAATGGAGCCACTATTTTGGACAGGTGCCTTGATGGCCCTTCGGGCTCGAACGTCCTTGTCCGCCACCAGCAGTCCTTTTACGCATGTTGCATTTCAGCTCTCTTTGGAGGCAAGCCGCTGGCAGATGCAGTCTTTGGGGGCGACACCAGCCATCTCGTTCAGCCCAGAGCTTAGGTTGGCACCCTGAGGCCTTCAGGAGGCGCAGTCAAAGCGGTGGATTGATGGACCCTTTGATGGGAACTTTCGAAGAGTTTCTGGGACGAGAGAACCACCTCCATGCGCTAAGGCCGCATTTGCCGCCTCGCATGGAGGTGCCTCGACACAAAGTCGCGGCCGGGAGGGCATCCGAGTTGTCCACAACATGCACTGGAAAGGGCAAAAAGATCCGCGTGTTAGCACTTCAATCTAGGAGTAGGAGACTTTAACCCGCTTTCTGAGACCATCTCCTTTTTTGATATCATCTCGTTTTCTGGGGCCATTTTGGGGTTGTGAAACAGGTAAACCAAAGGAAAGCCATCCATTTGGAGACAAACCCATCTCATTCCCCTCGCTTGGCCCAGGGCTCCCGACCAGGCGGGCCTTCGGGGCTGGGTCGCGAGTGGAGATGATTGGCAAGTCATTTCCAGAAGCCAGCTGGGCCAGTGTGTTCTGAAATTCAGGTACCTCCAGAGGATCTTTTGAAAGAGAACAAACAGTGAGTTTGGTCGCTCTTCAGAGGGAGCCTGGAGTGGAGTCGAGGCCGTAGGTGGCCAGGCGATGTTTCCGTGCGGCAACCTTTCCTCACAGTAAGGTGTTGCAAAAAAAGGAATTGTTCCCTTGATCTCTCAAGAGAATTCGCACCCATTTGGAGGGTGGCGCATGGTACGCAGAGACTGGAAGGAGTTCTTGTGGCTTGTTGCTCTTCCTGCACCCCTGAAGTTGGGCAAGTCCCACTCCATGAAGCTGATAATCCCGAAACTATTCCCTTCAATTCATGGCTTAAGAGTAATTCCGAAACCACGAAAGTGGGAGTTTTAAGATCCCCTCAAAAATGCGAGCTTTGAGATCCTCTCAAACTCTGCGTTCCCTCTGGCAACCACTTCCAGCGGCCTCTCTTAGTCACAGCCGACGCCAGGCAGCTTGGCGCTGCCGAAGAGCCGCTTCCGAGGCTGGGGAAAGGGAGCCGATGTCTGGGGGGAGGAGCCGGAGGTCCAAAACATACTTGGCTCATGACCGACCCATTTCGGCGCTTTTTATTTTATTTTCTTTTTTCTTTCTTCTTTTTCTTTTTTTCTTTTCGTATTTCTTTAACGATTGTGTGGATGTCTATTTGGGCTGCTCCGTATTGTGGCTTGTGAGATGATGGGTTTGCGAGGGTTCGAGTTGCTTGTAGAAGCTTGGATTGATGCGTGAGAGTGCATGTGAGGAGTTTGGTTTGCTTTAAATCAGAATCCAAATTTCCAACTTTTGACTGGTTTTGGCGCTGCTGTCTTTCTCCACATTCAATGAGTTTGCGTGTTGATTTGGGCTGCCCTATGTTTCGGTGTTTGAGAGGGGGTACATTGGTGGGTTAGGATTGATTGTGGAGCATGGATAGCCTACCTGGATAGCCTTCTACCTTCTGCCATATGTTTCATGTATCTGTGAGTGTTTAACCTTAGCCTTCCCATTAACTTCCATGGACCAACATGCACCTGGGTGTTGGGCCACATCTTTGAGCTTAGGCCGATTCCCGGACCTGAAGGGCAAGGATGAGCCGGTCCCTGGTTGGCAATGCAGTCCTGGCCAGGGTCAAGCCAAGTCGACCTTCCGAAAGGAGGGTCGTTCTGGACACATCAAACCAGTTTGCGCGTATGGCAACATATCTTTGAGGGTGCTAGTCTGACTTGTTCAGAGGCAGATCTTGAATGCAGTGGTTCCCTCTAAGGATTGTGGATGAGTACTGGCCACCCATTTTGAACAACCCAGCTAGTGCTCGAAGGTGCCAAGGTTGTGTGAGCCATCGGCACGGCTGCAGGTCGCCAATGGTTGGGGGGTCATGGGTGGCACCCACCCAAATGTTTATGAAGAACCAGGGGCGCACATGTCCTGAAAGAGAACAAAGCTGTGTCAGCTGAGGGCATGGAACAGTCACCTGAGTTTTCTATCTCCCTTCAAGTGCAGCCCCATGGCTCTTGCGGGTATGCCCGTCTCGGAAGCCACCAGTCAGGAGGGACTCTCAGTCCGAGGAATTTGATGCCTTTTGTGGGTGGTGTAGGCCTGTTTCTTCTCGCCATGCTCTGAGAACTCGGGAATTTGCTGCACATTGTGGTTGGGATATTTCTACATGTGAGAGGGTGTCCAGGATGTCCCATGTTTTCTTTCTTTCTTTCTTTCTTTCTTTCTTTCTTTCTTTCTGTTTGCCTGTCTGCCTGCCTGCCTGCCTGCCTGCCTGCCTGCCTGTCTCCTGAAAATCTGCCTCTCGGCCCTGTCATTCCCCCAGGTGCACTCCCACGCTTTCGTTTCCTTCCCCTCCCAAAAACCGGCGCGCATCACTGAGGTGGAGACAGTGCGGTTCAGCGGGGACTTCCAGAGTTTGATCGGGGACAACGTGGAGCAGTTCCTGGCGGAGTGCTCCGCCAAGCTGAAGCCGGTGAGTTGCGCCGACGCGAAGCCGGGCTCGGTGGTGGTGACCCTCGTGGCCGAGAGCGGCTTGGCTTCGGACAGCGCGAGAGAGAGAGAGAGAGAGAGGCGCGGCAGCGGCTTGTTGAGGGAGCTGGTTTGGTCGGCGACCTGTCCCGTTTCTCCGCCTTGTGCGGTGGGGGGAATAAAGAACCCCCGGCGATCTCGCGGGATTGGGCTCGCTGGCTCGCTGGCGACCGAGGCTGGGAGGAGCTGGAGGAGGCCAACAAGGTCATCGCGAGCGACTTCGAGCTGCCCAGCTTTGGGAAGTTCGAGAAGGAGAGGGCTGGTGGTGGGCGCTGTCCTGTCTTGGAGCCAAAAGGAACGAATCGCGATTTTTCAATCGACCCTCAATTGGACAAGCCTGTGCTGGACAAGCCTGCCAAAGGTTCAGTGCCTCTCCTGAGAGCCCAAGAGGGATTCCCGTTTGGGTGCCTGGAGGGGGGCGAGTGGAGGTCTGGCAGCTGTTGTGAGCTGGACTTCTGCTGAGCATGGTGAGGCCAATGTCAAGAGACAACATGGAGATTTGATTGGGATCGCAAGTGCATGGAAGCAAGCGTTTTTTTCTTCTTCTACGCAATCAAGCGGTGTGGGCAAAAGAAAGAACAACATGCTGCAAAACCCGCCATTCCACTGGTGTGCATCTCTTCTGTAGTGAATTGGGAGAAAGGAGCTTTGTTTGGAAGCCAAGGAGTTTGAGGTGGTGCTCTCTTCGTTATGCCTTCTGCGAACAATCACTCGAGTGTGTCTCACGTGGACCAAATGGTTCCCTTGTGGTTTCTCTTTTGACTGCTTAGGGGGGTCGAAGCCGTTCTTGAGTCACTCCCAGGAGCCGAAGTGGAAGGACGAGAAGGCAGACAGCCCGTGAGTTAATCCGCGAAACGACGGGATTCGAGTCCCTAGCACTGTTGGTAGTCTACCGTTGGTTTGGGGAGAGGGGCGCCACCCAACTTTCCCATGCCCTTTGGGAAAACACGTATCAAGCAGTTTTGTCCGTTGTTCATTTGTACTTTTGGGGACTTCCCCTTTTGACACGGACCTGACAGCCGACATGACCAACTGGTCATGGACCTTCAGTCCTGACACTTTCCGACATTCCCATTTTCTGGCTGCTCGGCACCAGCGAGCATGTTTGGTCGGGTCAGGTGGGGGACCGATCCAACATTGATCCGAGCGCCCCTCGGAACATCGCGATTTTTTTGTGACCTTCGCATGAATTCTCTATCAAGTCTCAAGTGGCTCAGGCCTTCGCCTTGTTTAGTATTGCGGTTTCAGGATTCGAGGGGTTTCACGGTTGCTGTTCAGTGTGGTTGGTTCTACTAGGGTCGCCCACTACGCAAAGCAACCTGACAGCCATCCAAACCCGTGCCCCAACCATAGCTTCTACGTGCGGCAAAAAGCCTTTTTGTTTCTTTACCACGGGTCTGGGGTAGACGGACTCACGTAGTTCCAGGTTTTGACTATGACTCAAATACCAAACGTCAGGGTTGTTGTGCACATCGCTATTTCCCTGGCAACTGGACTTGCGTTTCCAAAACAGGGGATCCCTGAAGAAAAGGTGTTTTGCTTTTGGCTTCCATTAATAGGGGGGCCCCCTCGGGTTTTCTTGTCAGCCTCAGGCCAAGGATACCATGAAGGATGCGGTGACTTTTCTGGATTCGGACACGGAACAGATTTCACACTGAAGTGAATGCGAGGGTTATGTGTGAAGCTCGGCTTCTTGGCTTCTGGCCTTGGCTTTTGGACTTTTGGACCTGACTTTTGGCTTCTTTCTATGGCGTTTGAACTTGCAGAATAAATTTGGCGAAACAAACACAAGTGAATGCTGCGGCGAAGGGAAAGGGACCTGAATCTGAAGAAGGGGGAGAGCGGAAGTGGCCCTTTCTGAGTAGTGGACCACCACCTCACAGAACTGGCTTCAGGCCTCCTTTGACACACAACCCAAGTGTCACTCCAAGGCATTTGTGCACTGAGGCAGAGATGACACCAGAGGAGAAGAAGAAGAACTTGCTCAATCCGGAAGCTAAGCGCAAGGGTTCGTGCGTGTTGTCGATCGACAAATAGATCTATGCAAATTCAACCGCCGTGCAAGAAGGTGGCGAAAGAGAGCCGCGAGCGCAATTGGAGTGCGAGTTTCTGAGGATATCACTGCGGAAGATCAGAAGATTGTGCAGAGCATTTTTGATGCCGTGCATGATGATGAAGCGAAGAAGGCTGGGGCTTCAAGAGCGCAAGGGATCGCTTGGTGGGTTTACGCCGCCCGAACAAAGATTTAGCAGGACTTCCAGCAGCCCTCTAGAAAATGGGCCTCAGCGGGGCTTTGAGAACAGCGACACTCTGATCTGACTCTCATCAGTGCCCCATGCCTTAGACCAACATTGCTCAGCTATCCAGATTCTCAGCGAAGACTGCCTCGCCACTCCTGAGCAACGCTCCTTTCGACCGAGGCGTTCAGCAACCTGCCGAAGACTTGGAATGTTTGGCCAGACAATTCAGCGGCACCCTAGATGCAACACACTTCCACCGCGCTCTTGCTGATCGCTCGCAGCAAAATGCAGCTCCAACAGCCACAAGCCTGGATGTTCATAGAAAGTGCGCGGAAGTATGTTTTGAGCAGCGGAGAGCACGATGGGGCAGCAAATGATAGCATGCACGGTTTGATACGAACAAAAACGCACGAGTGCTGCCAGTTACATTGTTGGTTCGATTGCGGCAAGTGAATGTCCATCAGCCTCTCATCGTTGTTGTCGCTCCTAGATGGTGGGCACTGAGTTGAAGTTGAGTTTCCATCGCAAAGACCTCCATGTTGAGAACCCAATGTTCTTCGTCTCCCACACAAGAGCACGCAGCATGTTGCTTGTTCCCCAGATAGCTGAAAGCTATAGGGGTTCTAACTTCTAATCAAGAGGGGGAAGTGATTTGCGAGATTGACGGCTGGGTGCTAGGGGGCGTGCAGTTTGGCGTGCTGGTGCTTTTTGAGGTGCTGGTGATTGGTGCTTTTGGGTGCTGTCTGGGGCGCTCTTGGAGGGGGAGGGGGGGTGCTGTGAGAGGTGCTGGTGTGCAATCATCGGCTCGTTTTTCGCTATCTGGGGTCTATGCTGGTGCAATTGTTTTGTAACTAGTAGTTCAGCAGGTGCAGCGGACATGAAGGTATCTCCTGAAAGTAGATCCCTGTTAGAGAACATTTGTCTTCCACATTGCGGTGCCGAACCCTCCCTGAGCACCCATGGCAGACATGGGGGTGTTTCAAATTGGGGTACCCCCAAAGTGGTTAGCTTCCTATTGGTATCCCTTCAAAGCCAACCAATGGGGGTTCCTGACAAGGGTTCTCGCCCGACTTCAGGCGGAGCAAGGGGAGGAAAGCGCGAAAGCGGCCCTGCGGGCGCCGCCCACAGCGGAGGAGCCAGAGATGTGCGAGGGAGGGCGAAATGTGTTCAAATAGCCAAACCTGACCGCCCTATAGACGGAAGATATGAAGAGGATGTGTAAACAATCAGCAAGGTTGGCCCAACCCGGGTTGCGGCTTTGAGAGGTGGGAAGTGGTCGAATCTAGGGCTCCCTCTTTGCGATTGGTTTCATGTCGGCTTCCTTCCACCCAAGCAATCACGCTGACAGCATATCTGGCAAGGGACTGGAGAACGTGAAGGCTGTCAAGCAACATTCGTGTTGCGCTCTAGGCTCTAGGCTCTGAAATGTGTGATACGCACCTGAAGACCACCCTTGCATGGATTTACAGTGTGCCTTGCGATGAAAATATTTGCATGAGGATTCTTAGTGGATATTCCTTCGTAATACCGTGAACATCGTACACCGCACAACGCACAAAGTGCGCAAGCGTGAGAGCAAATGGGATGCCAAGGATGTTCCCATGCCTTGATGATCAAAGTGCAATGTTTGGTCTCTAGCCTCATGCAGCAACGGGCAACGCATGAAGAAGCCAAGCCCTATGTTTGCCCGTGAATTGGAGTGGCCATGTGGGATGTATGGTACCTGACGCATTTTCTGAAAGTTCGAGTCCTCCTTGAAGTGGATTTGTAATGCGCAGCACCAACCGTGAACATCGGGTGCCGTGTGGTCTACATGAAACAACACCAAGAGAAGGTGCTTGGTGGAGGATCTGACACATCCCGCACAAGTCTTGCTTCACAACAGCCTCCAATCCACCATAGCATGAGTCTCTTTTTTTTAACGGTCCGATTTTTTGTTGGGTGCGTTATTACCATGGTCCGATTTTCGGGGGTGGCAAGGGACAAGGGACACCAAAAAGGACCGGTCGCCGTTCTTCGTCACATGCCCCGTCTCACACATCAGCCCGCTGAGCGAAGCGAGGAGCAGTCCACCTCCAACGCCATTGTGGGCATTTGCCTGACAGTACTGGGCTTCGGCTGCATAGGGCTCTGCATCTACTCCTGGGTCAAGGCGTGGGTGCAATGCCGATGGGACCCGGGTTGAGGGCAGTTTGAGACAGCCGGAAGATTGAGCGGGCAAGAGAAGGGTCTGGAGTGTTCGAGCTGGGGGTTGGAAGCTCTGGCAGCGGGGTTCAGAGGCATTTGGTGGGGGGTGCTTTGGCCTTTGACCCGCAGGAGCGAGGGCCTTCCCACCTGGGATCTTTTGCAGTTTGAGTTTCCGCTTGGAGGCTGCCAAGAAGGTGAAAGCCAAGCTGACGACGGCGGCGCAGAAGCGGCTGATGAAGCGCGCGCAGAAGGGGGACACTCTGCTGGTGGTCACCGGGGTGGAAGGACTCCAGGCGCAAGCCATGAGGGCCTGAGGGCCTTTCTGGGGCGGGGGAAGCCAAACTGCTGGCTTTGGAGTGAGTGACTGGGATTCTTGAAAGCTGCAAGCCATCAAACGCAAGGCCCAGTAAACGATGCAGACAGGTGCAAATACGCTTCAGACAGCGGACATCTTCAATGCGTGCAGTTCACATTCCTTGAAAAAGAGCGCTTTGAGGATGTGCTTGCGAGTGCCTTGCTTTTGCGAGTCGCGCGGCACAGGTGTGGTACCAGTCTTTCGCAGCGGTACCAACAAACCCAGTAGCCATGGATGGTGATACTGGGGACTGATCATTCGAGCACACATGCGCAATTGTTGAGACTTTGTTCTTCTTTTGGCATCTTCGGCCGTATGCAGTTGATCCGTTTCCACCGCGGTGCATCAGCGCATCCCTCGCAAGCACGTCATGTCAATTTCGAGGGGATCTTCCTCTGAATAATGTGTATATATATATACATGTATAATATATATATATATATATTTGTATGTATGTATATATATATAAATACAGATGTATATTTCTTCCAACAAGATGATGTGTGATGCAAATGCAGCACCTGCATCTGCAAAAACAGCGGGAAAACAACCGTCTTTGGGGTGGGCTGTCTGCCTCTGCCAGCGGGCCTTTTTCGGACTGCGACTTTTGCCCTCCCTATTGACCTCGTTATGAACACCTGCAGGCGGCCACCCGAATTCTGAAAAAAGACATCCGGACATGCCTCTTGCCTCTGATTCAGTGTTGTATGGGATTCCTCCAGTCCAATGGCCGGTTCCAGATATTTTGGGGTTGGTTGGCTCATTTTTCTGGGTTCCCACGGATTGCGGAGGGATCTATCCCCGTTTTGAACACTTTGGCTTTGCATTCCGATGGGGACGTTGCATTCTGATGGGAACACCCTCCAAAATGGTTGGTGCACACAAATCCCAAGGTAAATATGATGTCTCATATCCTTTTCATTCAGGGTTTCTGATGTCTCATATCCTTTTCATTCAGGGTTTCCCTTATGACACAAACGTGGTGTCCCAGGGGCCGATTTTCTTGGATCCCATTTTGCTTTCCGTATCTCGGGAGGTGGGCGAGGAGGTGATGATCGGCAAGGAGAAGGTGGCGGTGCAGGGCCTGAGCTTGTCGGTGGTCTTGTCCGCGGCCTTGGCCGCGGACTGCCCCACGGGCGCCAAGGCCATGGGCAGGTCCAAAGTGTCCAATTTTGATGGGCTTCAGGCGTGGAGTCTTTTTTTTCTTCTTTTTTTTGTTTAAGAAAAATAAAGGTGTTGGTCAAACTCAAAGCACCAGCGTTCTGCAGTTGTTTTTCTCCTTTTTTTTAATAAAAATAAAAATAAACAATCAACTAAGAAATAAACATAATAATCTAACCCATGAAATGGGGGTGGCTTTCCTTTGGTTTCCTTTCAAAACCCCAAAAGAGTACCATGAGAACAGGCACACCCATTTTAAGAACAGGTTGCAGTCACGTTCCAGATACCACGAGCTCCATGAAAGCGACATCCAGGGACAGCTTCCAAATGCAGGTTTCAAGCAAAATCCCCCCTCCCACCCCGGCTATTTGGCGAGCGCTCCAAAGTGCCACCCCTTTCAGGTGTTGCGCGGGGAGCAAGAGGTCGGCAGCCTGAGTGAGGCCGCGGTCGCGGGGGCCAAGGACAGGGAGAGTTTTGGGGGGTGGGGGGTCTGAAAATTCAGCGCAGATTTCGCACGGGGCCCGAACCAAAAGCAACATTTTTTTAGAGATGTTGTTTTGCAGGGATAGGGCGGCCTTGGATTTTGAAACTGGGCTTGTTTTTTTGAGTATTATCAATCATGTTGTTTGGAATGAATTGCTCAATCTCCCCTCTCCGTCCCTCGCTTTCTTTTCCCTCCTCTCTCTCTCGCTCACTTTCTTTCATTCATTCATTCTTTCTTTCTTTCTTTCTTTCGTTCTTTCGTTCTTTCGTTCTTTCGTTCTTTCGTTCTTTTGTTCTTTCGTTCTTTCGTTCTTTCGTTCTTTCTTTCTTTCTTTCTTGCTTTCTTTCTTTCTTTCTTTCTTTCTTTCTTTCCTTCCTTCTTTCTTTCTTTCTTTTTATTTCTTTCTTTCTCCTTTTCTTTCTTTCTTTCTTTCTTTCTTTCTTTCTTTCTTTCTTTCCTTCCTTCCTTCCTTCTTTCTTTCTTTCTTTCTTTCTCTATTTATTTCTTTCTTTCTTTCTTTCTTCCCTCCTTCCTTCCTTCCTTCCTTCCTTCCTTTTTTTCTTTCTTTCTTTCTTTCTTTCTTTCTTTCTTTCTTTCTTTCTTTCTCTCTTCCTCTCTCTCTCTCTCTTTCTTTCTCTTTCTTTCTTTCTTTCTTTCTTTCTTTCTTTCTTTCTTTCTTTCTTTCTTTCTCTCTCTCTCTCGTCTTTCTCTCTCTCTCTCTCTGTCTCTGTCTCTGTCTCTCTCTTGCTGTCTCGATACGAAATTCAATAAGACCTAAGCCACCGCTACAACAGTTTGTTTCCAGGAGTGAAGGACATTTTGAAGGCTGGGGGTGATACACTCACCCAAAAGAAGAACGAAAGGGGAGCGAGCTAGGCACCAACAAAAATTGGCACCAACCGTCAATCCAGCAACAAGACTAACTTTGACAATGTCAAGACAATGGTCCCTGCCAAAACTGCCAGGGTTCTTACTCTCAAGCCTGTTGTTCAAGCCCGTTTCTTAGGACATGACACTGGGTCCTATGAAGTTGCCACTAAATGGAGCTTCCTCCAGATCCAGGTCATTGCGCCGTAAAACAAATCGTTGAGGCACTTGCTCAAACCCCGGGTAGAAGCTTAGTAAGGGACAATCCCAACCAATGGGCGCCTTCGCCGCCTTCTTCATTGAAGCATGGCTCTGGGTCTACCATTTTAATGCTGGGTTTTGATGATGACTCAGTGGAAGCCTGTCCGGTTGGCAAATCTCTGGGTCCTTTTCAGCTGTCAAGGAGCTGCGGCTGTCAGGCACGCCTGCGCTGAAGAAGGGGGACAAGCTGAAATTGGGAGAGGCTGAGATCCAGGCGGGAGGCTTGTCAATTGACAGAATCCACAAACTGGGGATACTGTGTCCACCTCAGCACAAACACTGGATGAGCTTTGGCACACAGTACCACTAAATGGGCCTTTTAAGAAGCAGGGGACTGACTAAGGAACAACATGAATGGATACCTTTGGGTTTGAGACTTTGCCAAGCATGTGGGGCTCCCGCCTAAAGTGGGCGGGCTCGATCAGTAACATGCGCGTAGCAAAAAGCCCATCGCGTTACCAGCATTCGGTCGACACTTGTCAAGGCATCATGATGAAGCGATTGACCACTAGTCCGGTCCTGCTTTTCAAGGCCGCACGATGCCAGTGCAGCATTTTGCCCACAAATTTGGGGGGGAAACCCGTCACCCAAAAACCGACTCTTTTACAATGTGAGGTTCGACTAAACATTCCGTAGTCTATGATCATTTGGGAAAGACATGGGCGGACTCACTAAACTTCCCACGCACACCACCTGAACGCACTCACTATCCCATGCCCATTCGGATAGGTTGTTCAAAATCAATCTTGACTCCCCTCCCATTTGCCCTATTTGGGTACGTGTCAAACCAGGGTATCCTCAAACTGGGTAGTTTCCTTGTCATTTCCCAGAATAGTGAGAATGAACAGCATACCCACAAAGAAGCAATCATTTTGAACAACTCAGCAAAACCGTGCGAGGTCCCCGCGCAAAATCTGCAGGTGAAGTCCACTAAGAAGCAGCTGCTGGTGTCCCCCGCGCTGTCTTCTGCACACATTGTGGGCACCAAGCTCCGCAAGCCAGGCAGGTTTGCAAAGGGAGCCGAAGGAACAGACAATCTTGTTGATGTTCAAACTCCGTTTACGGAGTGTATTTTCCTTCTGTGGTTTTGTTTGTTTGTTGACTTGTCTGTCTGTTTGTTGGTTTGTTTGGTTGCTTGCTTGCTTGCTTGATTGTTTGCTTGCTTGCTTGATTGCTGGCTTGCTTGCTTTCTTGCTTGTTGTTTGTTTGTTTGTTTGCTTGTTTGTGTCTGCTTGTCTGCCTGCCTGCCTGCTGTACGCCTGCCTGCCTGAGCGTATGCTTGCCTGCCGGCTTGCCTGCCGGCTTGCCTGCCGGCTTGCCTGCCGGCTTGCCTGCCTGCCTGTCTGTCTGACTGCCTGCCTGCCTGTGCTTGCTCTTGCTTGCTTGCTTGCTTGCTTGCTTGCTTGCTTGCTTGCTTGCTTGCTTGCTTGCTTGCTTGCTTGCTTGCTTGCTTGCTTGCTTGCTTGCTTGCTTGCTTGCTTGCTTGCTTGCTTGCTTGCTTGCTTGCTTGCTTGCTTGCTTGCTTGCTTGCTTGCTTGCTTGCTTGCTTGCTTGCTTGCTTGCTTGCTTGCTTTGCTTGCTTGCTTGCTTGCTTGCTTGCTTGCTTGCTTGCTTGCTTGCTTGCTTGCTTGCTTGCTTGCTTGCTTGCTTGCTTGCTTGCTTGCTTGCTTGCCTTGCTTGCTTTGCTTGCTTGCCTTGCTTGCTTGCTTGCTTGCTTGCTTGCTTGCTTGCCTTGCCCTTGCCTTGCCTTGCCTTGCCTTGCCTTGCCCTTGCCTTGCTTGCCCTTGCTTGCTTGCCTTGCCTTGCCTTGCTTGCCCTTGCCGTGCTTGCTTGCCTTGCTTGCCCTTGCCTTGCTTGCCCTTGCCCTTGCCCTTGCCTTGCTTGCCTGCTTGCCTTGCTTGCCTTGCTTGCTTGCTTGCTTGCTTGCTTGCCTTGCTTGCCTTGCCTTGCCTTGCCTTGCCTTGCTTGCCTTGCTTGCCTTGCTTGCCTTGCTTGCCTTGCTTGCCTTGCTTGCCTTGCTTGCTTGCCTTGCTTGCTTGCCTTGCCTTGCCTTGCTTGCCTTGCTTGCCTTGCCTTGCCTTGCCTTGAGCTGCTTGCGTGCTTGCTTGCTTGTGTGCTTGCTTGCTTGCTTGCTGGCTTGCTTGCTTGCTTGCGTGCTTGCTTGCTTGCTTTCTTGCTTGCTTGCTTGCTTGCTTGCTGGCTTGGTCGTCTTCCGTCGCTTCCGCAAAAACCACAACGTCACTGAAGCTGCCCGGAGTCATTCAACCTTTGGAGGGTGTCTGGGACGTGAAACCACAGTGGCAAGCACCTGGCCTTGCCCTTGGCTTGGCTTGCCTGTTTTCTAATTGTCCCAGAATCATGCACCGCTTTCAAGCTTTCACTCGCTAACTGCCTAACTGCCTAACTCTCCCCTCTCCCTCCCTCTCCCTCTCTTTTTCCCTCTCCCTCTCCCTCTCCCGATCCTGCTCCCTCTCCCTTCTCTCTCTCCCTCTCTCTCACTTTTAAATTCTTGGAGCGTTGGGCAATCCAATCCCAGGTGAGCCGGACGTCGCTGCGGACGAGGCCGAGGGCGAGGACAACGAGGCCGGTGAGGCCACCGAGGCCGAGGTCACCGAGGCCGAGGCTTCCGAGGCCGAGGCCGCCGAGGCCAAGGCCAAGGCCACGGAGGCTGAGGAGCCAAAGGCGGCGCCGCCCGCACCGGCGCCCGAGGCGCCGCCCGCGGCGCCGGAGGCGACGCCGCCGGACAGCTAAGGATCCAAGCCGAACAAAACGCAGGCCCAAGGTTTTTCCCAGAAATGTCACACGACCAGAGCCGGTTTGGATCCCGTCCGCGCGAAATTCAGGCAGGCACCTAGTCAGATAGCCAGCCTGGGCCACTGTTGAGCCTTTGCACTCAATGGCTAACATGGGGCAGGGCACAACTGCAGCAAGAAAGCGCATGCTCCGGCAGAGGTTGTATTCACTGTATTCCTGGAAGATGCTCACTGAAGGGACTGAGGTCGACCTGAGGTTGACCGACAGCGAGCTAGTGACGCCGCCAAAAAGCTGAGAGAGTGCAGGGCCAGCGCAGGCTTTTGGCACAGCTTTGAGGTTGAAGCTTGAGACAACTTATGAGCCATATTTCCATGGTTCGATGGGGCAAGAGTCAATCTGACGAGCCGGCAACTGTGAATTCCATCGGGCCTTCCAGTTAGGCCCGTTCAAGGCACAATCGTGCCGAACAAACATCCTGCCGTGAAACAGCGTAGGGATACCAAGCGTGCTGCAAACGCTGTGCAAAACAGCAGCAACCTGGTCAAACCTCAGTTTGTTAGTAGGAACCTTGGCATGTGGGTTGTGTAGATCCCTGTTGATGACCCCAGCAAAGGGGTCTTTTGACCATGGCATTCCAATTAGGAACATCCAGCCTGCAGTCCTGGCTGCTTCAAAGCTGAATTTCATCTTCAAGGGTGGCTTGACGGTCCCTCAACAAAATGGGTTTGGGAAGGGCCGGGGTACCCCCGGAACCCTATGTGGGTGTCTGTTTTGAGGGTTTCCTTGTTGGGGCTCTTGGGATTTGGAGCCCTGTTGTAGGCCATGCCTCTTCGAACGGCGCGGCCACTGCGGGCTCGGGACCCGGGCGAGCGAAAGGAGGGCGAAATTGGGCGGTGGCTAAAATCATGTGCCAAAATGGCACCTTGGTAAATGGAACCACTAAATTAATGATTTGGTTACGTTGTTCATGATTTTCAAATAGGTGGTTTCATTTAAAGATCCGGCGCCTGGTAAATGGAGCCAACCACCAACACCTGCGTAACCCAGGGCCTTTAATTCTGAGCCACACTCGTTTGACCACAACCTGGACCAGAAGGAAGCCGCTGCGTGTCGGGAACTGGACGCAGACCAAATTGGAGCTGGCTCCCTGGTGCCTTTCTATTTCAGTTCCCTTCTGAATCCCCCACACTTCCCACATGGGGCTTCTCAAAATAGGGGGGTACCTGGTACCTGACTGTAGTATGGTGTTGGGGCGAAACCAACCACATGGAAGAGGGTCCCCAATTTTGAGAAACACCGACATGCATCTCGTGCCACGCGTTTCTTCCGCGAGCGCACGAGGCCATTGCCGGCGCTGTCGCCCTGCGCCAGCCCTACTGTTTCCCACATGTGCGATGTGCAATGCATTCACATGCCAGCGCCGCCAGCGCCTTCGTGCGTTTCCACGGCGCATGAGCACACGTGGGCGTCGGCCTTTAGCTTTGAGCCTGGCCGAGGCTGTGCGGTTGGCAACTTGGTCAGGCGCGATGGTTCTCAGCTGGGCGTGAGAAATGGCATGACCCCAAGAAAATCGTCCATCCGGTTTGGTTTCTCGGGGAATCCCCAAAACCGGTTCATTCCCAACACCCGGACTCGGTCATTCCCTATCGCAACAGCAAGAAGGGCAAATGAGCTGCTTGGTTTGGTGAGGCATGGCTAGCCCAGGCCAGGACCTCAGGGAGCGAGGGAGCGAGGGCGCTGGGTGGAAGAGGGGAGGGGTGGGCTTTGGAAGTTGGGAGCCTTAAGCAGTCTATGGAGTTCTGGGAAACAAACCTCAGTCCCCATGTCCAAAGTGTCCAACCAATTGGAATGCAACCACCGGAAGGTCCAAGCAGTTCAAAGACAAGCTCGATCCTTTTCCCGGCCCCAGCTCGCTTCGCAGGCGCCGCGGCGAGAGCTGCTGGCAGCAGGACTGGCAGGCCCTGGCGAGCAAAAGAGTCAAGTTCAAGAGACTGAATGCTCAGACGCCCCGCGCGTTCGTTCTTCCCAGTTTGGGGGAGGGGCGGATACTCATGCCCTGTCCCGGCCCGGACCGCCTCGTTGCCGCCCAGTTTTCGCCAGGCCTCGCCACTGTGGCTCAGGCACCGGAATCCGGGTTCGGGTTTGGGCTTATCGCACCATGAAGCTGTGCGCACCGCCATGCAACTAAGGGCCAAGAATGAAAGAAGGGATTTCCTCTCCGGCGAGCTTCAAGTTCTTTTGGATAGCTCCTTTTTTTTCTTCCCTTTCTCCGTACTTGGACCGCTGTGGGCTGATTCGTTTCTTGTTTTGAGGGATCTTTTTGGGGCTCTCAAGGGGAAGCAAAAGGAGAGCCAGTTTTCGGGGGCGAACTCCAAGAGACGCATCTCGCCTGAGGCCGACTCCGCGCTCGCCAGCGGCGGGTCCACAGCAGGGCGGCCCGGTGAACCGTGCGTCCCGGAAGTGGCCGTTTCGCTGTGTTCTGCTGGTCTGGGGAGAAAAGGCGGTTATAAGGGAATGGGGTGCGTCACAAGAAAGGAGACCTTTGATCTTCGGAAACGCCCGGACTCGAACATGGATGCATTCGCTGGGGTTGCTGAAACAGGTATGGGAAACTGCAAGGAGATGCTCCTGCAAATTGGTGGAGGGTCCTTTCCTGGAGTCTGATGGCCTACTTGACTGATGGGTGGTTTGGCATGCAACTCTCAGACACTGCCAATCCAAGCCACCAACTAAGGGTGACGTGATAGAAGCTGAGAGCGGGTTGGTTTGGTCGTGCATGGCAGGCTGGCAAGTACTCGACCATTCCTTCTGGGAAGCGGAGGCGAGGTGTTTGATGACATCTTTGCCGGGAGCGTATGTTTGCGGTGGAACGACGGGCTGAAAGCGAAGGAAGGCATGAATGGCGGAAGGACGTACAGAAGGAAGAAAGAGCCTGGCTGATTTTTTAATTTCCAGGGTGCTGCTGCTTTTTAGCCAGGTTC